TTAATTTTTTATTTAAAAAATTATGTATGTATTATTCTATTACTCAAACTTCATAGAAGACATAAAAAATTTTTTAAGAGCTAGTTTTTATTGTGATCTATCCCAATTTTATAGATTCATGTTTTTGTTTTAAGGTTACAGTATTATTTAAAAACTCATGAAGAGTCAAATTGGAATTAAAAAAAAAGTTTTCTTCTTTTCTTTGCATTTCCACTATATTCTCCTAGGTCTATTGCCCTGTTTTTATCTTGGTCTTCAATGTTGTTGATATTCCTCATATTCTGGTAGTTTTTGCTTATCAGTTCTTGTTCTAGAATAAATGTTAGGTTGATTATTCCAGGTTTAGGGCATAGGTTCCTTTGGCTGTTGTATAGAGAATTTCTTTCCCCAGGTTGCCTCTGCCCTGAATTAAAGACTCTTTGCATGTAGGGAGTGCTTATCACCAGGATTTGCATGGGGGAGTGGGCCGGGGACTGGGGAATCAGCTCTCCCAGGAAGATATTGCTCAATATCTTCAGGTGCCAGTGCTGGTTTTAGCCCATAGAGTCAGCAATGGGCTTCCTTTTATTCTGCACCCAAGGTGCCAGTGTGTGTTGCGTGTATGTGTGCATGGTTGCGTGTGTGGGTGCAAAAAGTGTAGGTGTTTTACTGAAGGACTTATGGTGATCCCATTTCCACTGTCCCCCACTCTACCTGCCCACACTGAGCTGGGAGCATCTGCAGAGGTCCCCTAGGGATTTAAGCGCCACCTGTGCTGCAGCCTTGGTGCTCCATTCCACTTATCCTCTGGAATCTGTCTGCTTTGTGTTCTTAGGAGCAGCATGAGCTCCCTTCTTCTCTTCATTCCCTTTTGATTTTCTGTATTGTGTTTGTCATGGTCTCAGGAAGGAGTGAGGCAAGCTATGTACTCAGCTCATCATCCTAAACTGGAAGTCCTTCCCACACTTGTGCTGTGGGGTGCCAGCTCCCAGTGTGATGAGAACTTTAGCAAGCTCTGAAGGGAATGACTCTTGACATAAAAGAATGCTATCCTGCAGACTGTGAGAAATTATAACTTATGTATCTCAGTACAAGCAGAAAAACTGCCATGGGCTGAGGCACTTTGACTATGTGACCCAATATTAACAGGCACATGGGCTACCTATATGCCAGGCACTATTCCAAGTATACCATATATATGAATTCATTCAATTCTAACAATAATAGTAAAAGGAAAGTATTATAATTATCCCCATTTTACAGACAAGCACATAGAGGTTAAGTACCTTGCTCAAAGTCACACGGCACGTAAGTAGAGAAACCAAGAATCAAATTTCATCTCTAGAGACTGAGTTCTTCTGGCATGTTAACACATACTTGTCCCAGCTACTTGGGAGGCTGAGGTGAGGAGCTCAGGGTTTTGACAGCAGCCTGGACAACATAGCAAGACCCTTTCTCTTAAAAAAAATTTTAAAAATAATAAAAAAGTTGGAGGTAGATGATAGAACTGATATCACAGGGAAAAAAACTCAACAAACTACCAGAGTTTGAACTCTTCTTAGCCTCTCATAAATCATGTCATTAGGAAGTAAACCAGGAGGCTATAAGAAACATGGAGTATCAAATAATAGCTGATGGAATCTTTTCTTTCAAACATAAAGATATTCCAAGAAGAGACTCAAAAAATGAATATAATTCTATGGTGAGGAGGAGGGCTGAATTTTGTAGTTCTGACCACACATTTAACAATATTCTCAATGGAAGGAAAAGGAGAAGGTACGTAAAGAACCCAGTGTATTTGTGCTACAAGCTAACTGATAATACTGGAGGATCTCCACGTAAATTATGGATGAGAAAACATATAACTACAGAGAATAAAAGGAACAGAACAAGAACTTCAAGAGAGTTAAGGCCAAGGATTAGCTGATGCTCGCAAAAACCACTAGAGACGGCAGCAGCAATTTTTATAGCTATTTTCAGAACAATAGATAGATGAAAATTATAGGTCCATTGCCTGAGAATGATAGTATCATGTTAAAAGAAAATACTGCACTTCTATTCTTCTCTCTATACCAAGAATAATGATGGTTAAGCTGGCAACATTGAGAGATTAATGCATTAAGATGTCTTTACAGCCATGATAAGAGAAAGTTGACAATAACTTAAATATTTTAGATGAACTCAAACCCCCTGACACAGAAAAATTACACTTTAGGCAATAAACAATATCATTGATATGATCATAGAACTGTCATATTCTTTTGAGAAATTTTATAGAACAGGGAAAAAATTCATAACAGTGGAGAAAGGTATGCATGACCCCAATTTTCAACAGGAGGAATGTGATAGGCTGCATTAAGTATTTAAAATATTTGCTACCTTTTCCTGCAGGCACCTTTCAATGGGGACTCTTTGTACTAGAAGATTATACTTCCTACGCCACCGATGTCAGGCGTGGCCATGTGTCTTCCTGTGGTCAATGAAATGTGAGGAGTGACATTCCAAGCAGGAGCTACTTCCAAATAGAACCTTGAAGAACCACTGTCTTTGTGCTATCTCCTTTCTCCCTGTGCCATGAGACCAGAGACATATTCTATATAGGGGCTGCTCCTTCAGCATGTGTTCTGGAATGAACATGACATGAGTAGGAGCAGCAGCCAACGAACACAAATATAGATGGGAAATACATGTTTGTTGTAAGCCACTGAGATTTTAGGGTTGTTTATTAACATAGCACACCCTACCCTATTGTGACTCTTACAGGAGGTAAACAGTAGATTCTGAAGATGACCAGTGATCTTAATGTTGATTTCCAGTAAACAAAAAAATTAATACGTGTGTTTAATCAGAAAATTTGAGAGCTTATAGAAAAAGAAAAACGTATTACTTGTCAATATGACCTAAATAAACATATGTTGAACTACCTTTTTTCCTCTCTCCCCCCCCTTTTTTTTTTCTTTTTCTTTTAGAGACAAGGTCTTGCTCCATTGCCAGGGCTAGAGTGCAGTGGTGTTATCATAGCTCACTGCATCCTCAAACTCCTGGACTCAAATGATCATCCTACCTCAGCCTCCCAAGCAGCTGGGACTATAGGTGTGCAACACTATGCCCAGCTAATTTTTTAATTTTTTGAAGAGACAGGGTCTCACTATGTTGCTCAGGCTGGTTGCCAACTCCTGGCCTCCAGTGTTCCTTCTGCCTTAGCCTCCGAAACCACTGATATTACAAGCATTAGCCACCATTCCTGGCCTATTTTGCTTATATATATATATATATACATATATATATATATAGCATTCTCAGCGGTCTGTGGAATTTTATAGATACACTGAAGTATGTTTTAAATAATATGTTTGAAAAAATGTCTCATATTATCTTTTGATGTAAAGTGCTGAGTATTTACTATGATGTCATGCTGTGTTTATTGTGACCATATGTAGTATGTCCTGCTGGAAAATGTGGAGGTACGTGATATGGATATGAATATAGGTAAGTGAATTAATAGTTAAATGAACGAGAGACTTAGAAAGATTTAGGAAATAATTCTTTTGTCTTAATCTGTTAGAAAGTATATAATCAATTATTTGAATGACAACATAGATGTTATATTTAAAAGTTTACATATGACCCATTACATAACATACTCTCTGGAAAAGAGATTAAATATATTAGATGGAAGAATTAGAATTCAAAATGATATGATCTGCTGAAAAGATACTGCAACCAATGTGATAAAATTTATAACTTGAGATTGTATACCTTGAAGTTGTATTTTTAAATGTCAGCGGTATTGGAAAAAGGTGATTTTGTTGGAATTCAGGTGAAGCCAGAAAGTTTGGATTCATCTGGACCTCAAAATAACATCAGTGTGATGGTGCTTCTATGAAAGTCAAGATGATCTTAAACTATATTAATAGAAGTTTGTGTCCAGATGAAGGGATTTTTACATATTAGTATAATGGTCAGTTCTGGGCCCTAAATTTTAACAGGAATATTGATAAAACCCAAGATCTTTGGAGTCAATTTATTAGATCAATTTTTTTTTTTTTTAGAAAGAAAGAGGAAAAATGGAGTTGGGCAGGTTTAGCAGTGTGTCTAAACTTAAAGGACACCTGGCCTGAGGAGAGAAAGCCTAAGAGAGGAGCAAAGAATAACAACTGCACACGTGTTCATACCTGTGGGAGAGAGCATGCTAAACATTTAATACACCTGACCAGAGTCCTGCTCTCCTAATTCAACCCTATTCCCTGTGATACTATGTTGTAGATACACAGAAGAGTCACACTGGGTAAATGCACGCCACAAAAGTGCTTTCTAACCCTGAACGATCAACAGAATTGTTTGAGGAGCTTTGAAAAATGCAGATACTGAGACTCACCCCAGACCTACTGAACCCTTATTTCTGGTGATGGGTGCTGGGAATCTGTATTTTCATAAAACTCAGATAATTCTAATGATGTAAGATTCTAATGATTTGTGAGCCATGGTATCATGCGATGGGTGAGTGTTCAAGAGGATGAGGTAGGATTACAGAACTTTGGTAGATAAGCAAGGGAGGCAGGATCTCCCTTGCTTATCTACCAAGGGAAATAACCACTGCTAGGGCAGTGGTTGCTGGAGGTTAGTCTTCAAGGACTAGTACAATTCTAAAAGAAATGAGGATTCGTCAACATAAGATTGCTGACTTTTTATTATAACAAGCAAATAAATAAACCAAGCAAACTATCTATTATCCTTACAGTTTCATTTAAAAAAGTTAAATTTTTTAAAAAAGGGACCAGGGCAGTACATAACATATAGTCTTTTAGATTGAACAAATTTAGCCACATGGTTCTTATTTATTTTTCTCATTTCCCCATGGGCTGGTGACAATTTCTGCACACTGTGGTGTCATTTGGCATATCAGCATTTGAGAGCCACAGTACAGGGTATGTGCAGTGTGATACAGGCTGCTGCATTGTTATGCAGGGCCAGGTGGCTCAGAGGCTGGGTGAGGGACCCTAGTTCTGGCAGTGGTGAAGGAGAAGCTCCGGAAAGAGCGTGTGGATGGTGCAGTAGGCCGCAGGGACACCTTGCATGATAGAGAATCCGTGAGCAATTGCTGTGGAAACCAGCTATAGAGAATGACTTGTGGGAAACCTGAAAGCTGTATTAAAATACATAAACGGCTTTCATACATAATAATCCTTGTTACGATAGAGGGCAGAACTAAATGTATTCGAGAAAGTTGTTGGCAGGCCCATTTAAGTTTAATATAAACAAAATCTTTTGACGATCAGATTTTTTTCCAGTGAAATTTAACTAATTGTATAGAGAGGGCATTGCCCTGCTCTGGAAGAACTTGAAGCATGTCTGACTAACAAATTGTTGGGAATGTAGATAGATAAAGAGATTCTGGGCTGAATTGGAGGTGGGACTAAAATCATGGTTTTCCAACCCAGAAGACCTCAATAACCCTTGGGAAGGCTTTTAAACAAATACTGATTCCTGAATCTCAACTTAGATCTATAGGTACAGAATCTTCATGGGCAGGGCTCAGGAATCTGTATGTTTAGTAAGCTCCCAGAAAATTCTGTTAAGTTGTCTGCAGCCTTGGAAAACAGATAAATTCCAGCATCTTGCAGCATCTGTGATGGTAGATTCTATAAAATTCATGAAGAGATAGCATTTTGTTATGGCATCAGTATTTGAATATCTACTTAATGTAGCATATTTGATTATTGGTTACTTAAAAGTTATATTTGAAACAATCAGTTATCTGAGCATCAGCACAAACTGAAAGCATTTAATTATTTTTAAAGCAAAGTTTACTTTGAGATTGGCAGAGGAATTAGCTTCACAGGATGGAAAGGAGTCATGGACCTAATTATGAAATTTGGACATGAAAATTGCCAAACAGATAACATGGTTGTGCTAACATTTTTTATTTACAAGATCAGTGATTCATTTTTCCAATTTCAAACCTCATATTAGTTTACTATGTCATTAAACATAGGTTTATTAGTATGAAAGGATTTTTATGGGGTCCTTTGTTATTTGGAAATGTTTTTTTCATTTTTGTGACCATCTCATTCTGTTATATTCAATAGTTTGAGTGACTTTCCTAGTAATTGAATGGCTGAATAGCCCAAAGATTCTTTTACAGACTAGTTTTAAGAATGTGCAGTTTTGAACTGGACAGTTATCTCTGTTAAGTTTCTATTCAAACTCTGTGTAGATTATCTGAAAGACTTTCAGACATTGATAGAAGGCTAGGAACTGAATCACAAGCAAAAGAAACTAGACAGATGCCATCCATCCATTGAATATATGGATCATTGCTTAAAATATTTTGAATTTCTAACTACTGGGAAATTTTTTTCCTGATACTCTTTGAGCTATTCAATGCTTTAGAAATATATTCTCATGAACACATTTTCTTTTCTTCTTTTTGCATTTAGTTTCTGGTTGCTTATTATTTATTTACTTATTCAATAAATGCCTAGTGGAAGCTTACTTTATGCCAGACACAGTGTGAGGTACTGGGTAAGCAAGACCCCTGCCCCCATGAAGCTATGTTCTAATAAGGGGAAAACCATAATAAACTTGAAGGTAAATACATAACAATTTTTTTAGCTAGGGGAAAGCACTATAAATAAAATTAAATGGTTCAGAGAATTGTCAGGGGATCCTTTTTTTTTTTAGATAGAATAGCTTGGAAAAGGTAGTGATGTTTGAGCCAAGACTTGAGCATGTGAACAGCTGTGAGAAAGGAACAGCCAGTGCAAAGGCCCTGAGGCAGGAACCAGCTGTGGGATTGAAAGGCCAGTGAAGCATCATTATGATAAAAAAAAAACCTGGAGATACAAAATGAGGTCAAAAAGAAGGCAAGGGCCAGATAATGCAGGATCTCACAGGCCATGGTAGAAATCTGACTGTATTCTAAGTGTAATACGTTCTAATCAAGGAATGATGTACCTTTGTATCTTATAAAATTAAGGCTCCTTGTAGAGGAGGGAAAACAGTCAGGGAAGAGTGGAACGAGGAAGCCCAGCTAGAAGGCTATTGCATTAGGTCAGTCTAGGGATAATGATTGCCTGGTAGAGTGTTGCTTTTGACTGAGGAAATGTATGTCATGTATGTGCCCTGTTCAACAGACATTCTCAGTTACGAGGGTCACATATATGACTCTTACAATATGATTCCTGAACTTGTGTGGCCATTGGTTTCCTTTTTCCCTGCTCTTAGTCCATCACCTCCCTCAGTTGGGAATTATTGTTACGTGATAGGTCAGGATAAGTTGGTTTTCATCAGGGCACAGGGCATTTGCCCAGTTAAAACCCAGAGACCAACCCTTAGTTGTTTCTGCCATCCTCTTCCTTCCACAGGCTTCCTTCCCAGTCTCTCCTGCTTCCCACCTTCTCCCCTTCTCAGATTCTACTCTGAAAAATACACAGATCTTATTTTTATTTTTTTTTGAGACAGAGTCTCACTCTGTTGCCCAGGCTAGAGTGCAGTGGCATCAGCCTAGCTCACAGCAACCTCAAACTCCTGGACTCAAGCGGTCCTCCTGCCTCAGCCTCCCGAGTAGCTGGGATTACAGGCATGTGCCGCCATGCTCGGCTAATATTTTTGTATATATTTTTAGTTGGCTAATTCATTTGTTTCTATTTTTAGTAGAGACGGGGGTCTCACTCTTGCTCAGGCTGGTCTCGAACTCCTGACCTCAAGCGATTGGCCTGCCTCGGCCTCCCAGAGTGCTAGGATTACAGGCGTGAGCCCCGCGCGCCCGGCGCAGATCTTAATTTTTATGCTGCTTTTCCCAGGAGTCTTTTTTTTTTTTTCTTGGTACATAGAGGAATACAGAGATGAATACAGATAAAAAAAAATGTAGAAAACTCCTTAATGTATTTCAGCCAAGGAAGGGAAAGTGGGGAGTGACCTTTCCTTCTTTTCATTAAACCTTAAGTACAGCTGGAAGGGACTGGACACATTTTAACCCTTTTGTTTTCTTACAGGGAAGTCATATGTTGACACGGCTGTTGACAAGAATATAATACAACTTAAGATTTCCTGAGCCACGGCTATGTGGCAAGCATCGTTGCAGGCGTTTTCAAAATGAGACGCGTCCTACTGCTGCCCCTCTTCACAGATGGGAAAACGGAGGCACAGAGACATTAGGGATTTGGCTCAAGGTCCCACAGGCAGTGAGGGGCCAACCTAGGATCGAAAGCCAGGTTTTTCTCTTCCCCAGGCTGTGTTCCCTCTCCAGGTGAGAAAACATGGCACCTTAGCATTTTATAGAGAAGAGGAAGTTGCATGGCTGGCCCGGGCTGGCAGGCCCTGATGCCCCTCCTTCCTCTAGCCCCTCCGTGCTCAATCTGGTTTTACCCACGAGCCTGAGCCTCATTTTCAGCTCCACTTTGCCTCAGTCTACCTCTCACGGAGGCCTTTATTAATAAGTATCTCCAGGAGTAAGTGGTTGCCAAAAAATTCAAAGAAATATGCCCCCCTCCCTGCCCTTCTCTTTGTCACTGCATTTCTGGCTGCGATGGTCCAATCCTCATTTGCTTTAACAGCTGCTGTCTGCTTCTCTGTGGGTGCTCGCATTGCTTCTGAAGCAGGGGCCAGGAAAACAGAGCTCCCTGAGCTGGCAGGAGACAAAGCCTTCCTCCCCGCGGTTGGCCTTGTGTGCTGGGTACATTTATTTATCGGCTTGTCCTTCTCACAGGTATCCTCTTGGTCACAGCAGGCTCCGGGAGATTACTTGTCTCGCTACTGAATTTTCTTTATATGATTTTTTTTCTAAGTACGTATGAAATTATAGTCTTGAACTTTCCTTTTTCATACACAAACTAATCATTATGAAGCCCAATAATGATCCCTGAGGGAAAAACCGCATGGAGCAAGAGGGCTCAGACGTGGAGTGAGGGTGTTGGACAAGACTTGGTTCCCGGACCTGTAGAGACAATTCTCTGCAGGGATCAGTAAGCTGCATTTTTATGACTTGAAACACTGTCTTTCAGGATGTTACACCACAGTTTCCCCAAAACACAATTGTGTGCTGTAATGTCCATTTTACATGTTGCATTTCATTCCTGAACCTAAAATTGCAAGCTTTGAGCATCATGTTTTATTGATCTGATGACTTACTTGACTTAAACACAGCAGAGATGAAAGTTTAAAGAAAAGTCAGAACTACTCCGTGAGCTAAAGGGATGGGTTTTCTATAATCCCTTTCACAAAAACCCTTCAACATTTTATTCTCATAGGTTATGTGACTATTAAGATGGTTATGCTGATTATTTCCTCTTGAATATAATAAAGGAGTGTGTGGAAGAAGTTTCCTTTAAATTTGAGATTTAAATATGATTCCTTTCTCACAAGATAGAAAATGGATATACCTCAGCATTTTATTTTTGAGAGAGAAAGATTTTGGTGTTTGGTTTTAAAGGTAAAGCAGTCCTGCTCTTGGGCCAAGAACAGAGGACAAGAACAAGGGAAAGTTCTGGGCACATTCGCCTCTCAAAAAAGGATGGGAAAACTCACTTTTTATCTTCTAGTAAAATTTGTTCTTAAGAAAGACTCAAGTACTCATTCACACTAAAGTAAAAATGACTGAATGCAGTTTAAAACATGACCTCTTCCAAAGGAAGTTGTAGCTTTACCTATATCAAATATTTTGGTGAAAAAGACTCTCCCAATTATTGATTTGTCTATGTGTGTGTCTGTTTGTCTCTGTTTAACATGTGTAATGAATGAACTTTGTTCCAAAAAGATTTAAGGCTATGCATCATACAATAAGAAAATAAATTTAAAAGTAAGTAATTGAGAACATTAGATGACTTTAAATATTGGAAATTTGGTTTTCAGAGAAAAAGAGAATGAACTTTATATTTTGTTGTTGTTTTGTTTAAAACCCCTATTTTACCTTGAAATCATAGTGGGGCAAGGATGGGATGGGGTTACCAACTCCATTTATAGCAGACCAACATTTCAGCATGTTACATAATTTTATAGTGAAAAAGTTGCTGGTTTTTTTTTTTTTTTTTTTTTTTTTGAGAGTATCCAGAAACAGTATGCTGGTTTTATTTATTAGCTTATTTGGGGCATTTAGTACAGCTTACTGTTCTGGGTTTAGTTCTTCAGTAGCCTTCTTTTTGGTTATTTATTAACCTCCCTTTAAAGTACAATTTAATCGTTCAAGGAAGGTACAAAGTTCACTTAATGTTACTATTGTTCCTAATTATGATAACAAATAAGGTCACTGTATAACTAGAAATGCCTCCAAAACATAAAATTTGTGTATGAAACAATTAGCCTGGGGGCACTGGCTCTGAACACCAGCACGGTACAAGATAATCCTGCAGTAACAGGACGATGCTGCCCATGTTAGTGGAGTGGGCTCCAAATAGTCTATGTGCTTCACTTCTAACCTCCTCCTCCTTTACTATTATTCTTATAGGAACAGGGTTTCAAAGGAGATCAAATATTCTAACAGGGGAATCCAGAAAGAAGAATGTGATCAATTTCCTCCTCTCTACAGATTTGTCTATTTTGCAATTCATCAAAGATGATGATCTAGAATTCAGACTGAACACAGGGTCAAGTTCATTTTTTCCCCATTTTGAATAGTGGAAAAAGGAACCCTGGAAGATTTGAGTAAGTTTCTAGATGCTATGTCTACCAATCAGAAAGAAATTTTGTGTCCCTTACCTGCCTTCCCAGAACCTAGAATAGTACCTGGAACATCATATGTGTTCAGTAAACAGAGTGTCAGTGCAATGGGGGCTCCAACGTACTTTTTAGGTACAGAAAATCCTTCTATTTCTACTCTGTTGACTGATGGAAGGTAAACAAGCCCCTGCTCCGTATTATACTGTGTTGGTCAAGGGTGCTTAACTCTATAATCAAATTGCCTGGATTAAAAATCTATTTTCTTCACTTACTAGCTGTGTAAATGTGGGGAAATTGCTTAATTCCTCTGTGGCTCAGTTGCCTCACCTTTAAAAAAGGGTTGTTTGGAGAAGTAAATGATATATTAAGTGCTTAGCATGGCACTAGACACCCTCAGCCTGATAAATGTTGGCCAGCAACCACAGTATGGTAGCCTAGTCTTGGGAAAGCCTTAAGTTTGACCTTGCTAAGAGAAAGTTCTTTTGGCTAGAAATGATAGGAACTTCAAAGAGTTAAAGACAAATTCACATCTACTTCTGGCTTTTCACAATTGAAAGAGCATTGAAAAGGACAGTTTTCCAAAGAGAAGTAGGCAGCTATCCAAAGTATTTTGAGTCAGGAATAAATATTGATGGGTTTATCTCTTCAAAGAGATTTTTAGAATTAGCTTCAATGAAATGAAGAAAGTTTACTGGTCTAAGAAATAAAAATAATTTTTAAAAGCCTTCCATATGAGATTTTACTTTGAAGTTATTTTTCTTTAACAAACATGCCATTCATTCAACAACTGATTATTAAGTAACCACTATATGCCAAGCATTGTGTTTCATGCTAGGACAAGAAAGGGAAAAAAACATGGAGCCCGTTCCTAATATGTTTAGAGAATAAATATTCAGATAGGAAATACCCTTCAAAATAGTTATCCTGGCATCCTACACATTAATTCCAATATTGCTGCTGTTGCTCAACACCTTCAAACACTTCTTGGGCAGTGCCTTCAGAATCAATGCACAAGCTACACAGGAGCAGCGATAGCTACTTTACTTTTTGGAAGGATCAATATTCAGTGGACATTAAAAAATCCAAATCCTCCTTTATTGGTTGGTAAATGCCACAGCTCAGAAACCCCCAGAGCCTACTTATCCCCACTTATCCCCAGGGCCTACTTCTCCCCTGTGCGACTGCCAGAACACCGCACAATCCAGCTACTGAAGAGTTAATACTTGGATCTAGGTTAAGGTATTCCAGGCTCTTCTTTCAATGCCATCCCATTCAGACTGTTCTGTGTCCTGCCATGGTTACATATTTTGAACATCAGCCCCAGTCCTACTGTCCTCACTTCTTTCTCCTTGGTGCATCTCTAGGGCCCCATCTCCTACTCTAGATGACTTTTAGCTATCAAGGAAGACCAAACCCAATGTTAAAGCACAAAGTTTGGCTACTTTAAAAAATATTTTTTAAAATAAAATGAAGTAACCCAGAGGTAAGTCCAAAAGAGAGATTCTAAAATTGTCCTGAGCAAAGGCAAATATCACTGAAGCTAGTCTAGGGTCTCCCAAGGTGAGTGAGTACTCAGAAGGAGCAACATTCATTTCTTATGTAAATGATATTGGTGCTTTTATGAATACAAACAACAAGATCAGGCCACTTACTTTATAGTCACATCTTGCATAGTAGACAAATGTCTAATGTTAGAAGGGTTGTATTTTAAAGTCATAAAATCTTCACTTAGGAGCATTCTTTTTTTTTTTTTTTTGAGACAGAGTCTCACTCTGTTGCCCTGGCTAGAGTGCCATGGCATCAGCCTAGCTCACAGTAACCTCAAACTCCTGGGCTCAAGCGATCCTTCTGCCTCAGCCTCCCGAGTAGCTGGGACTACAGGCATGTGCCACCATGCCTGGCTAATTTTTTCTATATATATTAGTTGGCCTATTAATTTCTTTGTATTTATAGTAGAGACGGAGTCTCGCTCTTGCTCAGGCTGGTTTCGAACTCCTGACCTTGAGCAATCCGCCCGCCTCAGCCTCCCAGAGTGCTAGGATTACAGGCATGAGCCACCTCGCCCAGACTCTTAGGAGCATTCTTAAAATCTAGCTAATAAAATGTTATTCACATATAAGGAGTATAATAGGCATATTTATCTTAGTAGCATTTTGAAATTTCTAATACTCAGATATAAAAACACAATAACAGTGAATATTTTCCCCAGTGAATTATAATTCAGAATTATTCAGAATTATAAAATATGGCACAATTATGGAGGAAAGAGAAATTTTTGCATGGGCAATGTAAATTCAGAAAAGTGTTGTTACACAATATGCTTATTTTTAATAGGAGGATTTGTATGAGATGATCTAAATTTATTTTTACTTTGTTACAGGACATTTAAAAGCCAAAAATACAAATCAGCAAAACAGAACAAAAAGAACTTTCCGAAGGCAAACTTATTATTGATTGGTAAAACACATTTTTGAAACAAGTGAGTATTTGGTATCTGGGCTAATGACAGAATTGACTTTAGGTCCCATAGACTAGAAAGTTGATAAATGGTACTTAATTAAAATTTTTACTGGTTCAGCTGCTCTATCATTTGCATGAAAATCAGTAGTAGTTCAGTAGTTTTTTTCATAAAGATCGTGAATCCTGTACATAAAATTAATCTGTTCTTAATACTGACCATTAAACAGAAGTTTATTTGTTAAATGAATGAGTGCATAATTGACCAGAGTTAAAAATTATATGTCTTTTTGAATCCTTCTTTAGGGCTTTATTTCTTTTAGTGATAATAATAATTTTTATTTATTTTTCTTATAAAAATAATTATAAGTTCATAGAAAATTTTTATAAATGAGATAAGGCAAAAAGATTACCATCAATTCCTACCATCTGTAAATATTCATTTTTGTTTGTCTTCACATCTATGTTCTATATATGTGTATTTTAGGTGTATGTGTGTAAGTGTATATGTGTCTGATTTACAAAAAAGACCATATTATACACAATGATGATATATTATGTGATATATTTTCTTTTCTTTTACATGATATATTATGCACATCTTCCCATGAATGCCCTTAAATAGTCTTCTACAGCATAATGTTTAGTGGCTGCATAATATTCCACTATAAATATATATTATAATTTATTTCACCAGTCTTCTGTTATTGGCCATTTAATTTGCTTTTAGTCTTTTTGCTGTTGTGCGGTAGAGACTTTTGTCTATTACAAGAAAGATTTTCCTTTTTTGTGTAGTATTTCCTTTGACAGCTTAGTTAACTCTACAGATCCCTTCTCAAAAGAATATGTTTTTTGCATAAAAATACAAGGTTACAAAGGAAACAAATTATATAGAGAGAGTTACCAAATGTTTTTTTGGCTTTGTGATGTGGTTATTTATAAACATTTGTTCTAGTGGTACATCTAATAACTACTATAATTTTTAACTACTGATGAACATAAATGAATTTTGAGATACCTGAAATAATTAGAGTATAATATAAAAGTAGCTGCTATGTTCTGTTGATCTCATTGTGATTTGCTGCTCACATTAATAACAGAAGGAAATGATAAATTTCAGTTGGAGATTATTAAAAATAAACATATGCAATTTTTTCCTGTCTAAACTCGTGGATAACTTGAATTTTATCCATGAGCCCTCAAAGCCATCAATCTCAGATTAAGAACCTCTGTGAACATTTAAGATTAATTTGGAAGTATTTGAAAATAGTAACAAGGGAGAAGTACCTATGTTTCCCAAAGATTAGCAATGAGGACTTAAAATAACAAAAAGGTACTAAACTTGGTGAAACCAATGGAGGTTGAGAAAGTGTAATCTGTAGCACAAATAGACCAGGCTGATGAGTAATGGTGGAAGAAAACTAGGAGGAACTGTGGGAAGCTAATTATGAGTAGGGTTTCGAAGGAATGGAAGAGCAGAGAAAAACCCTGCTATTTCAGGCTTCTAATGAAAAGACATTGTGTTATTGAAAAGGGGAGAACGATCTTTTCTCTTAACTTAGTGAAACCTAAGTGCCCCGGCCTCAATAACAAATGACTGCAAAATATTATCTTTTCCCTCTAAATACCCAAGTGATGTGAGGGCCAGGCTCACAGACCAGCCTGACTCCAGGAAACCAGCCCCTCCCAATCACAGGTTCCACCAATTTCCTGGGTTCCCAGGGGTTCTGTCCCCAGGGTGCGCTGGAGAGAGCAGCTCTTCCCTGTTGTTGCATGCGGGCTTTCTGCAAAACCAGCACACCGCTGTCTCTGTTGTCCGTGGCCATTGTGAAACTGCCACATCGATGCACAAAGATGTTTTTCCCATCTCTATGATTTGGTGCTGGGTGGAGTGGAAGGCGGGCAAAGAAGACAGGGGTCCCCTCTGTACCTTTAGCTGCTCCATCCAAGGTGAAAACCGGGTCCTCTCCTCATTCTGCACAGCAGGGACCAGGCTGCAAGTTCCCACAAAACTTCGTGGAACATAGTGGGTAGGCAGGGGTAACGTTGGGAAGTACCATATGGACTAGCTGACATCCAGGACAAAGCCTCTAGCCCTGTCTTAGGGTTGCTAAAGGGACCGCTCCCTCTCTAGGACAGTCTGGGAGTGTTTAAATCGTCCCAAGAGGCCCTCGAAGAAGAGAGAGTTTCCTTCTCTCCAGTGAAAATCTCACCCCCCACCCCCAGTCTCTACATTTCCAGTCCAGATCCCTTCTGGGATTAACAGTGGGAATACGGGGAATATGGGGAAGAGCCCAGCTCCATGCACACGGGTGGATTTAGGATCTGCAGGGCTACACGCATGTTGCGTTAGATTTTATTCATCCAGCACCTATACATTCTGGCTTATTTAGTCCTAAATAATATCATGAGCAGGAATTCCAAAGCCCAGGCTGCATCTTTTTTCCATTTCTCTTCTAGTATGCAGTGAAGTTCATATCTGCATATCCTTTTTATAGTCTTTAAATTCAAGTCTTCTGCAAACAACTGATGTGACAAGAACAAACACATTTTCATGGTTTTTGCCCATTTTCACTTAGAAATGAAAATCTTTCATAATTAGTATGGTGTGTTTTTTCACTGTTGAGTTTTAAGAGTTCTTTATACTAGTCCTTTGTCATGTTTGTGACTTGAAAAATATTTTCTCCTAATTGGTAGCTTGTCTTCTCATTCTTTTTATGGCCTTTTGCTGAGAATTTTTCTTTCCACTTTAGCCTCCTGAGTAGCTGAGACTACAGGCACATGCCACCATGCCTGACTAATTTGTTTATTTTTTGTAGAGACAGGGTCTTGCTATGCTGCCTAGGCTGGTCTCAAACTCCTGGGCCTAAGCAGTCCTCATGCCCTGGCCTTCCAAAGTGCTGGGATTAGAGGCATGAGCCATAGCTCCTGGCCCTACAAACATTTTCATTTCCATAAAGGCCAGTTTATCAATTTTCCCTTTTATGGATTGTATTTTTGGTGTCAAGTCTAAGAACTCTTTGCCTAGACCTCAATTCCAAAGATTTACTCCTGTGTTTTTTTCTAACGTAGTGAGAATGTCACATAATTTTGCATTTTACATTCAAGTCTGTGATCCATTTTGGATTAATTTTTGTATAAAATATAAGGATTGCGTAGAGGTTCTCATTTATTAATTTTTCTGCAGATGTCCAATTGCTCCAGCACCATATATTGAAAAGGCTATGCTTCCTCTATTGAGTTGCTTTTGCACCTTCATCAAAAGTCAGTTGGGGCCGGGTGTGGTGGCTCACACCTGTAATCCTAGCACTTTGGGAGGCTGAGGCTGGGGGATTGCTGGAGGCCAGGAGTTTGCCTGGGCCCAAGCAAAGACTAGCCTGGGCAAGAATGAAACCCTATCTCTACAAAAAATAGAAAAATTATCTGGGTGTGGTGGCACAGGCATGTAGTCCCAGCTACTCAGTAGGCTGAGGCAGGAGGATCACTGGAGCCCAGGAGTTTGAGGTTGCAGTGAGCTATGATGACACCACTGCACTCTAGCCCTGGCACCCAAGCAAGACTATCTGGGGAAAAAAATCAACTGAGCATATTTGTGTGGCTATATTTCTAGGTTTTCTATTCTGTTCTGTTGATCTGTGTCTATCCTTCCACCAATACTACACAATTTTGATTATTATAACAACATAATAAGTCTTGAAATCAGGTAGGCTGATTTCTCCCACTCTAATTTTTTTTTAAAAAATGAAAAAAAATCGTTAGCTCTTCTTGTTCCTTTGCTTTTTTACACACGATGTTAGAAAGAAAAATGTTGCCTATATCTACAAAAATTCTGGCTGGGATTTTGATAGGAATTGGATTAAATCCGTATGTCTATTTAGGGAGAATTAACATCTTTACTATTTTGAGTCTTCCTGTCCTCAAACACAGTATGTCTCTCCATTTATTTAGGTCTTTTTTAGTTTCTTCCATCAGCACTTTGGAATTTTCAGCATACAAATCTTGTGCATGTTTTGTTAGATTTAGACCTAAGCATTTCGTTTTTTGAATGATTGTAAGTGGTATTATATTTTTAATTTTGGTGTTTATGTGTTCATTACTAGTATACAGAAATACAATTGATTTTTATATATTCATTTTGTATCATTTGACCTTGCTGAACTCACTTAGTATTTTTAGGAGTTTTCTTGTAGTTTGGTTAGGATTTCCTATGTAGACATTCATGTTATCTATAAATAGGGATAGTCTTATTTCTTCTTTTCTTTTAAAAACACTTCTTAATTTTTTTCTTGCTTTATTATACTGAATAGAACTTCTAGTATTATATATGATCAAATAAGAGTGGTGAGAGCAGACATCTTTGCCTTGTTTCTGATCTTTTGGGGAAAGCATTCAGTCTTTTATTATTAAGTATAACAATAATTTTATTAAGTTGAGAAAGTTCTCTTATATTTCTAGTTTTCTAAGAGTTTTTTGCATGAATGGGTTTTGAATTTTCTCAAATGCTTTTTCTCAAGTGTTAAGGTCATGTGATTTTTTTCTTTAGCCTGTTAATATGGTGGATTATATTGATTTATTTTCAAATACTGAACTAACAGTAATCCCTGCAATAAGCCCCATTTTGTCATAGTATATTTGTAATTTCTTTTATATATTACTGAATTCTATTTGCTAATGTTTTTAAAAAACTTTTACATATATTTTCATGAGTAATATTGGTCTATGGGGTTTTTCTAAATTTTTTTTGTGTGCTTTCTCCATCTGGTTTTGGTATTAGGGTAGTAATAGTTTCATAAAATGAATTGGAAATGTTTCCTTGTCTTATATTTTCTAAAAGAGACTGGATAAAATTGGGGCTAATTCTTCTGTAAACAGAAGAATTCTGCAGTGGAAATATTTGGGCTTGGAAATTTTTTTCCTGAGCTTTTAAATGATGAATACAATTTTCTTAATAGTTACTAGGGTGTACAAATAATTATCTATTTCATTCTGGGTTAGCTGTGGTACTTTGTAATTTTCAAGGAGTTGGTCCATTTCAGCTAAGTTATCAGACTTCTGCATGTAGAGTTGTTCATAGTATTCCCTTATTATCCTTTTAATGTCTACTGGAGCTGTATGATATTCTTTGTTTTATTTTTGGTATTGGTAATTTGTGGGTTCCCTTTTTTTTCCCTTTGCCAGCTTTGCTACATGTTTGTCAAGTTTACTGATCTTCTCAAAGAACCAGGTTTTAGTTTCATTGATTGTCTCTATTGTTTTTCTGGTTTCAAAATTATTGATTTTTTGCTCTTTATTATTTCATTCCTTCTATTTATTGTGAGTTTCTTTTTCTTTTTTTCCCTTAGGTTCTTGAGGTGGGAGCTTATTGATTTGAGATTTTTCCTCTGTTTTAATGTAAACATTTAGTGCTACAAATTTCCCTCACAGCACTGCTTTAGCTGTATCCTATAAATTGTTATATTTTTTTACTTTCATTTTCATTAGTTCAGTGTAATTTTTGATTTCTCTTGAGTCTTCCTCTTTGATCCATGTATTATTTAGAAGTGCCTTGTTTATCTTTTTGTTATTGATTTTTAGTTTATTTCCATTGTGGTCAGAGAACACAGTCTGTATGGTTTCAATTCCTTTAAATATGTTAAAGTCTGGGGGGTTTTGAGAAGAATGTGAATTCTGCTGTTTGGTGGAGTTTTCCATAAATGTCCCTTAAATCCTGTTGGTTGATGGTTTGTTGAGTTCTATATATTCTTGCTGATTTTCTGTCTAGTTGTTCCATCAATTGTTAAAAGACAGGTGTTGAGTTTTCCCTCTATATTTGTACATTTGGCTATTTCATCTTTCAGTTCCACCAGTTTTGTGGTTTTTTTTCAGATATTCCACAGCTTTGTTGTTTGGTGCACACACACTCAGGACTGCTATGTCCTCCTGGTGGATTGACCCTTTTATCATTATGTGCTGTCATTATCTCTGGTAAATTTCTTTGCTCTTAAGTCTATTTTACATGATATTAATGTAACTATTCCCACTTTCTTTTGATTAATGTTTGCATAATGTATATTTTTTTATCCTTTTTCTTTCGTTTTTATTTACTTTTAAACATATTTGTAGTGAGATTCTTGTAGATAGCATATAGTTGGGCTATGTTTTTTAATCCGATCTGCCAATTTCTGCCTTTAATTGGTATATGTGGACACACTTTTATCTGTACAATTTACTTCTTTAAAAGCCAACAGCTGAGTAATGCCTACACGATGTACAAAATTCTGAAGATACTAAACATTATTTGATATTAAAAGACTAATGTTAAAAAGTAAGTCTCTTTTCACCTCCTTCCCCAATCCTCTCCCAACCTCTTCCCAAGAGTTAACCATGTTTTCCAGTTTTCTGTTGTCTTCTTTCAGAACTAGTCTACATACATGCAAACATTTATAAGACTGTATATATTTTCTTTAAAAAGAAAACACAAATGAGAAAAAAGCATATACACTATTCTACCTGATGCTTTATATATACTTAATAGTAGTATATCTTGGAGATCTTTCTGTGTTGATATGTATACAGTATAGTGGAAACATTTAAATAAAAATGTGTTCTTCCAGCTTCAAACGTTTTAGAAGCTAGTGACAGGAAGCACGCTCTCTTACACAAGAAGATTAAATGTAAAAAATTTACATGAATTGAAAACATTTAAGGAGAATGTGGAATGTAATTTATAATGAAATATGTAAATTGCTAAATATATGGAGCTTGAATAAGAAATACTCCAGAAGAAACATGATGGCAATCTATTTATAAGCCATAAATTTCCAGAGGGTTGTGAAGTTAGCAGCAACTGTCTATGTGGCTAAGAATAATGGAATAAGGCAAGAAAAGAAAAGGCAATATTTTAAGTCAAAATGTAACTCTGAAAACTTTGTTAAATACTTTCTTATGTACCCAAATGGGAGAAAATCCAATATCCTGTGAAATAAAACAACATTTAGGATTTTGGAAATTTTTTTGTTCCAAGTGAATTGCAAAATAAAGACAGTGTGATTCATGTATTCAACAAAGATGTATTAGGTACTTACTGTGTACAAGACACGGTTGTAGCTAATGAACAAGATAGACAAGTTCTTTGCAATCTTGGAGCCCACATACTGGAGAAAACAGTGGGAAGAAGAAAAAAAAATAAAGACATAAAAACCAATTTTAAAAAGCCAGGCAGTGATAGCCATTATAATGAGCATAAAACAGAGTTGTATGTTACAGAGACACAAGATTGTTTTATAATACTTGATGTTAGAAGATTATATTAAGCTGAGAAGCCCAGGAAATCATATCCACAATCCAGGAAAAAGTCTTTTGCTTATATTGCTCTAGTTTGCTCTGTCCTCCTCTGACCTCTTTCTGGCCAGATCCTTAAAGCCACAGCATAGTTCCACATTCTTGGTAAAGCTTTCTGAAATATTCCTGCCAGGAAGAAGAGAGTGCACCTGATGTAATAGCCACTGTAAGAACTGGAGTAGACAACAATCTCATTGGCCCAGTGCAAGAGGAATTGGAGGGAAAAAGAAACCACAAGAAGAAAGGTCAGACAAAGGAAATTAAGCTAAATATTCACTATCTGACTATCTGAAGAATATTCCCAGAAGTTACTGTTAAAATTAAATCCCTGCTCACAGTGAAATACTGTACAGAAGAGGTTCTGAAACTTTTTGGTCTTAGGACCTTTTATACCCTTAACATTTTTAAAGACATCAAAAGACTTTTGATTATGTGGGTTCTAACCATTGATATTTACCATATTATAACTTAAAACTGAGAAATTTAAAATACATTTATACACATTTAAAAATAATAAATCCAGCAGGGCATGGGCCTCATGCCTGTAATCCTAGCACTTTGGGAGGATGAGGTGGAAGGATTGCTTGAGGACAGGAGTTTGAGACCAGCCTGGACAACATAGTGAGAATCTGTCTCTACCAAAATAAACAAATTAGCCAGGCTTGGTGTTAAGCACCTATAGTTCTAGCTAATTGGGAGGCTGAGCCAGGAGGATTGCTTAGCCCAAGAGTTTGAGATTGTAGTGAACTACAATTGTGCCACCTCACTCTAGCCAGGTGACAGAGCAAGATACTGTCTCAATAATAATAATAATAAGCCCATTGTATGCTAACATAAATAACATGTTGTCATAAAAAATCATTTTTTTCTCCAAAACAAAAAAATTATTGAGAATAGAGGCATTGTTTTACATTTTTGAAATCTTTGTAATATCTGGCTTATGAGAAGATAGCTGGGGGATAGACCCACATCTGAGGGATGTGATAAGCATTGTGGAGGGGAAGGGCTTACCTCTAACCCTTGCTAGGGAGAGGCAAAGATATAGAATGTAACCAAAATGTCAAAAAAAAAAACCAACAAAAACAAACATTTATTGGGTGTGGGGCAGGGGAGGAGGGGAGGGGTGTTTACATACATAGTGAGTGCGATACGCACCGTCTGGGGGATGGACACGCTTGAAGCCCTGACTGGAGGGGGGAGGGGAGGCAAGGGCAATGTAGGTAACTTTAATGTTTGTACCCCCATAATATGCTGAGAAAAAAAAGATAGCTGGATTTTTCATCTCTGCTTCTCCATTTAATCCGTTGCTGTGTGTTTTATTTAAAGTACAGCTGACCCTTGAACAATGCAGGTTTGATCTGTTTGGGTTCACCTATATGCAGATTTTTTTCCAGTAAAAGTTGCACTGAGTGTGCCTGCCTCTTCTGCCTCCCATTCTACCTTCTCCACCTCTTCTGTCTTTGCCACCCCTGAGACAGCAAGACCAACCCTTCCTCTTTCTCTTCTTCCTCAACCTACTCAATATGAAGACTAGGATGAAGACCTTTATGATGATCCACATCCAATTAATGAATAGTAAAGAATTTTTTTCCTTATGATTTTCTTAATAACATTTTCTTCTCTCTAGCTTACTTTATTGTAAGGATGTAGTATATGATACTTGTAATATGTAAAATATGTGTTAATCAACTATTTATGTTATCAGTAAGGCTTTTGGTCAAGAGAAGCTATTAATAAAGTTTCTGGGGAGTCAAAAGTTGTACATGGATTTTCAACTGTTTAGAGGTCAGTGCCCCTAACCCTCACATTGTTCAAAGGTCAACTGCATATATATATCAAAAACTCCAGCTTCACACAAATAAGTAATATTATCATTTTTGTTTTTTTTAAATAAATGTAGCTATCTTTCTTTGATAATACACCAAAACTTGACAAGTGGTAGTTTCTTAAAGGTTAGATGCCATGTAGATTCTGAAACGATGTCAATGGACTTTCCATATTTTGTTATATTAAAATCAATTGGTCTATCTTGTACTTTGAATGGATCTTTTACCCACATATGATTTAGTGTCTCGCATTGGTTATTTGGGCAATATTGGTTCACTGAGTTACTCAGATCCCCCAATTGTTTACATATTTACTTATATAATATTTTTTAAAATCATCTGTAGGAAAATCTTGAAGCTGTATCATGAAGCTGTAAGTTCATGGTGGCGGATATGTTTTCCAAAATTCTTGTTTGTTTGAAAGCTCAGGTTTTATCATTGGCATCAAATGCTGACAGTTGTTTTCCTGAAATTTACAGGCACACTTCATTTATTTTTAAGAAAATGTTTGCCAAATACCCAGGTGTCAATAACTACAGTTTTCCTATCCGTTAGTCTTTCAAATAAAAATAGTTTTTTCATGACAAAAGTGACTACTTTAGCATACAACTCAGATTACTTTTCCTCATGAGCTTTTTTTATCTATTGTATTTTAGGATGCAGAAATACTTTATGACTACTTTATATCACACAGAAAATATTAAAAAGATATCTACTCAAGGGTTAAGAATTAATAAAATTATTATTATTGTTATTGCCAAGGATATTATTAAGTAAAACTGACATATATATTGTTTTGATTTGTTTCTTTTTGTTGGCCGGTAGTGCATGGTGTTGAACAATAATAGAGTGATGACCAGAATTATTTGGTGGTGGTGTCTTGAATTGTAATAAGGTATCAGCAATTTTACCCACTATTGCTTTTCTACTGTTAACGTATTGAAGAAGACAAATTATATCTTACTATGTTTATGAAAATAATTTACCTCTGGACCACATGAGTGAACCACACTTTTGAGAACTGCTGCTAGACAAAAATGAAAATGAATGATCTATAAACTACACACAACAGTATGCATGGGTTGCAGAAATCTATGTTAAGCAAAGGAAACCAGACCCCAAATAATACATGCTATACAATCTTTTATATATAAAATACAAAAACAGGTAAAACTTATCTATGATGTTAGAGATTAGGAGACAGGTTATCCTAAGTGCAAAGAGGCATGAGGCAGGCCTCTGGAGCTATGAATGTTCTGTCTTGAGCTGGACATTGGTTACATGGGTTCGTTCAAACTGCAAAAATTCATTAAGCTGTATGCTTATAATGTGTATGCTTTCTGTGTATATATTTCAATAAAAATTTCAGAAAATAAGGCAAGTGTTATTCTCTTGTATTTTATTTCTTACCTCAGTTAATTTAAAGTTCTAGGTGGTGGGGTCTGAGTAATAATAACCAAAAAATCAATGAGTTTTTACTTTTTCAAACACTAGCAATATCAGCTTTTTACAAGGTTTGCTGGGATTCAAATTTGAGTCTATATCATTTTGGGGACATTATGTGAGTCACATTAAGTGAACTTTGACCATTTTTCCCTATGGACTTATTTTTTAATGAAGTACATGTGGTTAGATGCAAGCGGTCTATGGGTTTTCTGACCTTCAGCGCAGTTTTATACTTTCAATGGCTTGTTGTATCTGGAAGGAGATCGTAATGAAGCAGAGGCTATATTTCATGCCTGTGGTCCAGCAGAAGGGGCTGGCTGACATGGAAATAATGTAATATGCTATTCATGCCATGGCATAATGAACTTATGCAGCTAAAAATAGTCTTTTGGAGAGGTAGAATTAGTACCAAAAAACATTTTAGGTATTTGGATTTGCTAAAATAACATTTTCCTCCTAGGATCTTCTCCTACCTTCCCTAAACATTTAAGTTCTCTCCCTTTTCCAAGCTTTGCTAGGGCCCCACCTCACCCACGAAGTATTTCCCGCCTCTGCCACCTGTGGTTACCTCCCCTCTTAAGAGCTCAGTAGTCTTTTTTATATTGCCTATAGTCCAATATATTTCTCCATTAATTCTATCTATGCTTGCATATTTCTCTAACTTCTACATTGCACTAGGTTTAGGATCCAAAGACAATTGGTTCAAATCAACTGGGTAGAAAGACAAGTTAAAAACTCACTTCATTTGGTTGATGTCCATTTCTAAAGGGCTGGTGTTCCTCTTTGGGGGTGTACTTTCCGTTTGAGTCTTCATACTTCCAGAGTTCTTTAGCTGATTTGTTCCCATCTGGATCAGCTGTTGCTTCTTATCTTTAGATTTTCGTTTGGAGGAGGGGATGGGTATATACATACATAATGAGTGAGATGTGCACCATCTGGGGGATTGCCATGCTTGAAGCTCTGACTCAAGGGGGGAGTAGAGGCATGAGCAATATACATAACCTTAACATTTGTACCCCCATAATATGCTGAAATAAAAAAAAAAGAAAGAAAGGCTGCAAAACAAAACAAGACAAAATAAGCAACAAAAATCTCACTTCATTATGGTCTGGTAAGGGTGACACCAGACCCTAAGCCCAGGAGTCTGGGGCAGTACACAAGGAAGGCACAGATTGGGGAAATATCAGGTGGAATTTAGAGTCAGACAGACCTCAACTTGAGCTTTTGTCCACACAAATGGGTGTTTGGCAAATTACTTAAGGTCTCTAAATCTCAGTTTCTTTAGGTGGAAAATGGAAATAATAGGCATTCCCATCTTAGGGGCACTGTGAGGAGTAAATGAAGTCATGTACAGAGCACATAGCACATGCCTGGCACAGGATGAATGCTCAGTGTGGGATATTGTCACTGTCATTTTATCGACGTGTATAATGCCATGGCCCATGTGGTGTATTCTTTGAGCTATATCACAACAGCAAATCTTAATTTAACTCAAAATTTTAAATTGTATTTCTTGAACTCATAAAGGCACAGGTTTACCATATAATCACATTCCTTAAGAAAATCTCTTTTTCTTTTCTTCCCTATCTACTTCCATTACACACTCAGGAGATGGGCCCATACCTCTCTTTCTAAGACTCTTCATTCAAATCTATTTGTTGGTTCTCTTTCATTTTGCCCCTGTCTCATGACCCCAAAGTGGCCATTGGGTGGGTGGGAAATGCTCCCCCAAAATGGGGAGATCATTTAGCTCAGTCATTATACATAGTAGGCTCCCTATGAATGTTCTTGCTTGATTGAGGAAAGTTTCTCGTAGCTACACGTGTCAATACTCATCTTGTTGGAAGGGGAAGTGGGGAAGGAGGATGATTTTTGCAAATGACAGATGTCATCCGGGGCCCCAAATTCTTCTGTCACCTTCAGTTATCCTTGGTCACTAATCATGGTTTCTTTGTAATGGTCGCTTCTGGATGACATGAACAGCACAGCCACCTGAGAGAGTCTTCCATCTCACATTGACCATGTCCCCAAGATGTCTTTCCTC